ATAGTTTTTTCAGTGATGGGGTAGGGGTAAGACACTAACCAAACGATCGTCAGCACCAGGAACAGTACATATCGGTGAAAAATATTTTTTTATTTACCGTAAAACATGATTAAAGACCGTTTACCCGAACATGTTTTACATGGGTTATATTCAAAATAATTAGACACAGTTTTCACACTTTATTGAGGAGAATATTAACTATGATGTAGCATTCGTATATTCTTCTTAACTTGACTCATATTAATTTAACAAACATTTGAATAACACAAAATCATGAAAGTTTAAGTTTTAATAACTTTTTTGATAAATATTTTATTAAAAAAATAAAATAGCTACGTCACAGATACACTTCCCTTCTACATTGTGTAAAAAATCTGAATTTCTAGAGTGATTATAGTTCTGTTAAAATGTGTTCGCATAAATCTCGTTTTTGGTCAAAATATGTACGTGTGTGACATCCTAAAAACAGAATCGGTTGATACCATGTATTTACTATGAAAATCAAATCTGTTACCCCGGTGGCAATATTATAAACATAAATAAAATGTAAAAATATATAAAAAAGTATAAATAAATATTCTTAACAATTATTGTAAAATATAATATAAATAAATATTATGTAATAATAAGTTTAGGGCAAAGGTGACCGACCCCAAATAGTTGAGAAAAAGGCGAAGGAGAAGAAGAAGCAGGCATATTATATAATATGTACGACCCGTTCCAATTTATATAATTATCATTGAGTATAACATATAAAAAGATTTTATAAATAAAAACCTATTATTTATATAAAATGAATTATATATATATATATATATTTATTAGCTAAATAAAAATGAATATTACCTAGTCTGTATGTTTGCTATGCCTTCCTAAACTATTTAACCGATTTTGATGACATTTGGTACAGAAATAGATTAGACCTTAGAAAAATACATGAGCTACCTTTTATCGCAAAAAATAGAAAAGTTAAGCATCAGTACACCTGTTAAGGCCCGAACGAGCAGTTGTTATGATATTGCTCTAACAAAATAAAAAAACGGAAAGGAACATCGGCTGCATGCTACTTGCGTCCCAAAAAAGGTATATTAAGCAGGTAATTAATTCGACTGGTAACTTGATCCCGATGTAGAGACTCAAATCGGCTGTCATAACTATCGATATGTTTACTAAAATATATGATATCTATCGATAACTAATCAAATGTACTATATTGGTGTAATAAATTGAGTAAATCATATTTACATTATGTTAGAAATAATTGTATCAGCTTCTCTTTATTATCTCTTTATTGTACTCGTAAATCACTACTTGTTATTAAAGATTTTATCAGACTTCAGGCATCGAGTAGACCGATTAAAGGAATTTTTAATTTTATACTCATAATTTATTTCATACCACAATATATTATTTTTATTAATATTTTGTTTTTTTTTTTTTTTAATATCTAATATCGATGTATTTATAAGAAATAATAAATAATATACAATCGATATGTTCCCGATCAAATAATCTATATTTTTGCTATCAATTATCGAGACGCAACTCGGTTATTAAAAAAATTGTACTGGGGCGCAAGTAGGTTATTTATTTATTTATTAATATAAACGGATGTGAGTTCTTAAAACATGATACAAACGTTTTGTGTTAACAAAATATAACACAATAAATTATATTTATTATGACCTGTTATCGACCATTTTGGTCAGGACAAAATTTACCTATTAAATAAAATTTGGAACGCAAGTAGAATGCACCGAAAACATGACTGTCAAACACCTCAATGTGAACTAGAGATCTGCACGCGCCTGATCCGGCCCAAAACTTACAAAATGCCTCCACCCAATCCTGATCCTTAATTTTTTTTTTTAAGTCCAACCCACCAAGGCTTCTTCACAGTATTTATTATTTGTTTTTATCAGTGATCTATTTATAAATATCATATAAACAAATAATATATACGTATTTTTATTATGATTTGTAACAAAGCTACAACATCAAAACTCCATCAACCTATTCCTTATCTAACGCCAATAATTGGCACTAATATTATACTCTTACATTATAATACGAACACATTTATTTTTATTATTAATGACTATATAATATTGTCAATGACTACTATCAGTGAGCGAGCAATGGGATAAAAAAAAATTTATAATTATAAAAATACTGCAGGCTTTACGCCATACCGATTTTCGACAAAATCTTCTTCTTTTTCTCCTTCACTTTTCTCCCAACTATTTGAGGTCAGCCATCCTTGTCCTAAACCTCCACTCATCTCGATTTTCTACATCCCCTACGTACACACCAACAGCCCTCATATCGTTCTAAATCGAATCCAACCATCTCTTTTTTGGTCTTCCTCTTCCTCTTTTTCGACAAAATCAAATTTTTATTTTAATCATAATTTAAAAATAATAATTTTAGAGACATGACATTTTTACTGAATATTAATATCACCGATTTCTATTGATGCAATAATTTTAAAAAGATTTTTTCGAGCAATTTTTAGAGAATTAAGTATTTATGTTTTCTTATTTTTGTTTGAAATATGTCGACAAAATAGTTTTGATTTAAAAAAATTCTTGAATATTTAATACGAAGTTCCTCGTAATTATATTCAGAATCGTTTTTTCAAGAGCAATGGGTACATAGGTTTCACGTCAATACTAATACAGCAATGCCCTGCCTCAACTATTGCTGTAATAGAAAACCCTTCCCACCGATACACGTATAAAAAATGAATTTCAAAATTAAAATCGTTACTTGAGTAATCTATTGGGTCAAATATGATCTGTATTGCTATTTTTAAATAAAAACAATTATCTATTTGATTGAAATACCATTATAATTATTAGTAACAGTTAACGGCACTCAGTGAAAACCCGAATGATTTATCAATTTTTGTTATTACAATATTATAATCAACTTTTAGATAGTAAATCATAATAATTAACTAACTGGATTTTTCGATTTTAAAGTTCGTCTTTACCACACGTATATTACATTCAATATACATTTTATTTTTTTTTACCATTAAACGCAAGTGTTCCGAAGCTGTTAACTGATCGAAGCTAATGTCTTGCTGAGGAACGAAACCTGATATTTTAATCATCACTTCTTCAGATACCGGATGACCGTTTAGTAGAAGTTCTCCTTGGAAATTACCTTAAATCAAACGTCAGCGGTAAACGTATGATTAAAACGAAACGACGAAGATAAACTCAAGTTAAGGAAACTCGAAAAATACCCACAAACACACTACCTTTAGTTCGATGACTTACAGTGGCCATAAGTGTAGTTTTTCCGGAACCGCTAAAATAATGAACGTCTAGTAAAATTTATTATTTAAAGATAAGAACATAATTTATTGAATTTAAATAATTTCTATTATCTATATACCTTGGACCCATTATTCCTAGAAGGTTGCCACATCGAACATTTCCACTAACTGAAATAATTAAAATCGATTACAATAATACGTTATTATTATATTGGAATAAGATACTATATAGAACTTCTCCATTCGTTATATATTGCAACATTAATATATGATGATTGTGTCATTGCTGTACCTGTGTTAATTTGGGAAAATTATAGTGTGCATCATAATAATTAAAACCACGTGGAGTCATTATTGTAAAAATTACAATCATTATCATTACCAAAAGTCCTAATGAATATTTTCCACACGTTTTATTCGACCGTGTATACAAAAAAAAATTTGTTGCCATTTATAAATTTACTAATTAAAAATACGCTCACCGTTGTGCAATATATGTTTGTACGTGATTTTAGACGACTTGAAAGACTTGTGAACAGTCTTCTTCGCTAAAACGTTTAGTCTCTTCCACGACAGCACCAGTTGATGACCGTACGGCTGTTGTCGTGGCTCTGCTGG